TGTTGACATTCGGCAACTATAAAAACGAGCCTCCCTCTTCCCAAATTGTCCATTTTTGTTTTCAAAGCTGAAAAAAAAGATTAGGGAGAATTTACCGTGTTTATCCGGAGACAATATTCAGCCGCTATTTCTTCGCGACACACGACGACGTGTCGGGTTCAAGTGAACGTTGTTTATGAAGACCAGCCGGGTTCGATCGGCGATGCAACGTGACACGAAACGTGCATGGAAATGTCACGAGCACTTTCTAATGGAGCCGGAAAAGGTGGCACCGTTTAACGACGGTCATCTACATATCCGTATCCGTTGGATTTCGTCGTCGAACAACCACTTATTTGCTCGCCGATCGTAATCGCTTTCAATCGGACACGACTTTATCCCTTTGAGGCTTGAATTATGTTACCGGCACGTTTCGACCGTGATTTCTGTTCCGGATTCTTCAAAACTGCTCGTACAACGCGTTTCTAAAGGTAACGGCACGTCTTTACAATCTCTAATGTCTACCCGCAAGGAACAATGACTATGGAAAACACAAGGATCAACCGTAGTTTCGTTTCGTATCAGTTTTATCTCATTTGCAAATAGCGTACGCGAAAATTGATGTTCTACAAATATTGGAAATGTTATTAACATTAAACGTGCTGTTTAGTTTAAAAATGTCTGATATGTGTCACCATAGAACGATGATAAGAATCAATTTACTTAAATTTCTCACGTATTTTGACGAAGAATCAATTTACTTAAATTTCTCACTATATTAATAATAATATTAATAATAATATTAATAATAATAATAATAATAATATTAATAATATTAATAATATTCGAAAAATTCCAATGGAAGCAGCTTTGTATAGTAAAAAATGGTACCATTTTCTGTGTGCAATATTTTTGAGTACGATATCAAATTTTGTATTTTTTCACGCACTTTGAAGAAGCGACTGTCGTAAATTGTTCGAGAATAAATGCTACCACAGATAAGAATGTAAAATAAAAATTGTTTGCATGAATTGCAGAAACACAGGAGCCAGTTACAGCAAATTCTCCTGATTTTCCTTCAACTTCTAAACAAAAATGGACAATTTGGGAAGAGGAGATACGATTATTCGCGACTCATTTTCAGAACTGTCGATTGTCAACAATTATAAAAATGAAGTGCAATGCTCGAACAATCGCATCTGCTCTTCCCAAATGGTTCATCTTTGTTTACAAGCTGCAGGAAAATTAGGGAGAATTTACTGTAGTTCCTTGAATAATTTAGCAAAGTGAAACCAATGTAGTTTCGATTAATACGTTCTGGTTCCGCGAGCGTTTCTCCTTATTTCTGGCCCCGATCCTTTTTCCGCCTTCGATCCTCCAGAAGGCATCCGGCTTTCACGAAAATGATAGCGGCCGCGCCTCTCCTGCGGCATAGTAGCTACAATAAAGCGATGAAATTCGAAGCCGGCGATGACGATAATCGATCGTTGCCACGGAATTGAGCGATCGAAATCGGCCGCGTAATAAGCGACGCTGCGAAGTTATTTTAATGCAATAGTTGTGCGTGCACCGGCTGATCGTATCTAGCGGTCCATTTTGTGTCTTCATTCTCGACCCCAGCGCTCTTCGACGTTGTTCGACGATCGTATTTTATTGAATCGCGAGGCAACTGGCACAAAAATCTACGTTCTATCGAATCATGAAATTATAGTATGGTAAAATCAATGTTTTCGATGTCAAGAATCAGACGGAAAATCAGAATAAAGTCTGAGGCAAAAGAGTCTAGAAACAAAACAACAGCCTAAGTTAACGTAGAATGATTTTAAAGCGTATAAAATTAATTAAATTCGAAGCTATGTTTCATTTTGTGTCTTTATTCTCGACCCCAACGTTCTTCGAAATTGTTCGATCATCGTATTTTATTGAATCGCGAGGCAACTGGCACAAAAATCTACATTTTATCGAATCATGAAATTATAGTATGGTAAAATCAATGTTTTCGATATCAATCAGACCGAAAATCAGAATAAAGTCTGAGGCAAAAGAGTCTAGAAACAAAACAGCCTAAGTTAACATTATATATAACATATAACTTTATATATATATATAATATTATAATATTATAATATTATTTATTATATATTATATATTATATATTATATATTATATATTATATATTATATATTATATATTATATATAACATATAACTTTATATATATATAATATTATAATATTATAATATTATTTATTATATATTATATATTATATATTGTTATAATATAATATTATCATTCTATGTTAAGGTTATGTATATATATTAGAGAATAATTTTAATTTTAAAATATAATAGAGAATAATAATAGAATAATTTTAAACCGTATAAAATTAATTAAATTCGAAGCTACGTTTCATTTTCTACGCACGCGCGCGAGCTTCTGCCACGAGGGAATCGAATGACGTCAATTATCTTTTCACAATCGACTGAAAAGAAGTTTAACAATTTCAAAGGTCTGATATGAAACATTATAGATAAAAACATTTGTGTAAACGGTTAATCGAATATAAGCGATTATCGAATTTGTCAGTGCATAATTATCGAATGTTCGGTCGCGAGTGATTATCGTGTGGCTGCAATAAGGCTACCACAATGTAACATCGTTCCGTTACTTCTAAAACGTCGATGTAATCATTAACATTATTTCTACCGATCGGTGTGTACCGCTGCCCAAGATGGCGGGCGGAAGGGGCGCGCACAATTGCACCGTCATTTTCTCCGGCATTTTGAAAGAGTTACCAAAATGATTACCATACTCGGTACAATTATTACGGATTACATCTTCTCGCGGCGTCGAAAAAATTGCTATTTTAATCAATATTCGCATATTTTCGAATATACCGAAGTATACTGGTAATAACGGTGATCGTAATAATATTAGTAATGCCACGGTGTGTTCGCCACTGAATCGGCTGAAGAAAAGAAAGAAAAAGAACGGCAACGAAACGTCTCGCACAGGTGGAGACCGTGACTCGAACGATGATATCCGGTTTACGACAGTGCCGCGAACACTGCTCGGTTCCCTGAAGAAATTTCCATTAGATTTCCATTAATCTAATAAAATAATAAGGCGACGGGGCGGCCCGTGCATACCCTCTACTTAGCGGCGCGTCGGGTCACGACAAAATGTGCATTTACGACGTGACGTTAATCGATCCGGCGCGTCGGTGATCGTCAATTAAAGCGGGCCGGAGCGTATACGGTGACTTCGTTAAAGAAATTTCGGTTCGCCGGAACAGCTGCGACGGTGTGCGGGTAACTCGAAGCGATTTTGGCAGGTGACCGGGAGCATCGACACCTGCTCGAAACCAACGAGAGTCTCGTCGATAACGCCGCCTAGTTTATAATGTCGCTACCGCCGAATATACATGTATATCTGATCCCGGGCGAGCGAACTGCTTAACGATTTATCGGGCGAATCGATCAGCGAGATTTAAAGAAGATACAGAAAGCCCGACAGGCGTACAAGCTCGTCAATGAATATCGGTTTGTTTGAAGAACTGTAAAAACGACGTCGACGCAATTACCGGTATCGATTTTCGCGTGCCAACATCGTCGGTACCTATTGGCATACGTGAGCGACTTGAATTACTTGCTCGGATCTGACAATCGATTCATTTCGAATAAGATAATAAAAAATCTAGACGACCTGTCTAATCCTAATTTGAAACGTTCGAATTGTCCGTTACTTTTATTATAAGAGTGAGCAGCGTCGATGTGTTTCTCCCGCGTTTATCTGCTTTATTTTTAATTTAGTTTGACAGTGCAGTTTAATAATAACTATATAATATAGTATTATAATATATATATTTATTATAATACTATATTATATAATACTATAATATATATATATTTATTATAATACTATAATATATATATTTATTATAATACTATATTATATAGTTATTATTAATATAATAGTTATTATTAAACTGCACTGTTAAACTGAATTATTAAACTACACTGTTGTGTAGTTATTATTATAGTATATTACTTTATTAGTTATTATTATATTATATATATATTATTATATATTATATATTATAATATATAATAATAATATAATTATATATAAAATATAATATATATATATATATATATATATATATATATAATATATAATATAATATATATAATATAATAATAACTACACAACAGTGTAGTTTAATAATTCAGTTCAACAGTGTAACAAAATAATATAAGATCGGTATACATATATATTGGTAACATATAGTACTGTTTTTTTATGCATTCTAATATTATTAATATATT